TTCCAAGCTGCATGCTTAATTATCAAGACATCCAAAAGAAAACAAAAAGGTCTTGTGCGGCAACGAAAAACTTAAATTACGTGGTCAAAAAACTGTTTCCAACCACCGCCTCTTAACCAAACATTTAAGGTTTTTCCAATGCGCCGCCGCGCAATCACCTGCCCCATATATCCTCCTGTTACGCACAACACTCCCCCGGGAAACATAAAAAACAAACATAATAATATAAACAATCATAGCAATACCATAGGCCACCATAAGCAGAATAAACAATTCATTTCCACTGTAAAACTAAGTTAACAAATACGAAAGTAATAACTTCAATTTGACGGCTGCAACATATCGGCCCCTAATTGTAATACTCAATTACCAATTATCAAACAATTACCAGTAGCCGTTATTACATAGTAACAAAAGATTTTTTTTTTTTTTGCCACATTTCATAAACATTCTTATAGTCATAGTCCAGTATAGATTTAATAGTAAAATGTTCACGTTCTTCACGTGGCAGTGTCGCAATGTCTTGTGTGTGCATGTGTGTGGGGCCATGTCAGTGTAAGTGTAGAGCCGGGGCAGACTCCAGAACAGGGAACTGTGGAAGACTCAATCTGCCTCCAACAAGAGACACAGCTTGGTGACAGGTTGTTCCAAAACTGACGTCTTGGTCTTGAGACGAACACGGCGAACTTGCCCTTTGGAGTCCTTCATTGTCTCTGTGATTTGTCCCTTGAGCCATGAATTCCTTGGTGAGGTGTCCTCAACCACAAGTACAAGGTCTCCGACTGTGAATTTTCTGCGGTGCTTGCGCCATTTTTGGCGCTCTTGCATAATAGCAAGATACTCCCTGACCCACCTTTTCCAAAATAGGTCAGCTATGTACTGCACTTGCCTCCTTCGTCTACGGATGTATAAGTCCTCCTTTTTGAACAATCCAGGAGGCAGTGCTGGTTTGCCTTTAAGCTGGAGTATGTGGTTGGGCGTTAGAGCTTCAATGTCATTGGGGTCGTCACTGGATGGGGTGATAGGACGGTCGTTGAGTATAGCCTCTGCCTCGCACATAGCTGTTTGCAGGGTCTCATCGTCCAAAGTCTGCTGCTTCAGCACTGAGTAGAGAGCTCTCTTGACCTGCTGTATAAGGCGCTCCCAGACTCCTCCGTGATGTGCTCCATGGGGAGGATTAAAGGTCCACTTTATCCCTTCTTGCAGAAGTGCTTTTTGGATCTTGTCCTGGTTGAGCTCCTGAAGGGCCTCCTTTAGCTCACGATTTGAGCCCACAAAGTTGGTTCCATTATCGGCTCTTATTTCCGTTACTTGCCCTCTTCGGCATATGAATCTCCTGAGGGCATTTATACATGCATCTGTGTCGAGGGCATGCGCCACCTCCAGGTGGACTGCCCGACATGCCAAACAGGTAAATATGACTCCGTATCTTGTACTCCTACCCCGTTTCACATCAATGGGCCCGAAGTAGTCCATTCCGACATGTGTGAATGGGGGGAGATCTGCCGAGACACGGTCAATGGGGAGATCCGCCATTTTTTGTTCGCCTGCATTTTGTCGCCGAAATTTACAGATCATGCACTTCCTGATGACTGCTCTGGCTGCTGCATTGGCATGAAGTATCCAATATTTACAACGAAGGGTGGAAAGCATGTGACTTCGCCCACTATGGCCAATCTTTTCGTGGATATGGCGAAGGATAAGCTGCGAGATGTGGCTGGCTTTGGGCAATATTGCGGGGTGCTTTGCTTCCTCTGGGAGAGCCACTCGGCTCAGCCTCCCACCCACTCTCAAGACACCATCCACTACCACTGGGTCGAGTTTGAGCAAGGGACTTGTCTTCTTCACTGTGCCTTTTTCCAACGAAGCCATTTCTTCCGGAAAGCTTTGTCTTTGTACAAAGTAGAGGATGGCTTTTTCTGTGTTAGCCATGTCTTCAGTATTAAGCCTTTGTATCGTTAGGCTGGCCTTAAACCGCTGCAGATGCTTTGCTACTGCGTCACCTTGCTGGCTGGAGGCTTGGTGCGTGGCAATGGCCTTAACTCTTTCCTGGCGCAATTGCTTAAACAGCTCTTTAAACTTGAGGATCCATCCCACTGCTCTTTTTAAGTCCATCCAGTTGGAGAAGTGACTTAGGAGCGTAGCAGAGGTAGATTCGTTGGACTGTAGCACTGCAGCACAGACTGAGACCACATTCCTCACCTCTGGATCATCCAAAGTGATCATGTCAGATTCTTTATCATGTCCTGGCCATTCAGACTGAGGTTTCTTTAGAAATTCAGGGCCATGGATCCAAGCTTTGGACTGAAGAAAGGCATCTGTCTGCAGGCCACGTGATGCTATATCTGCGGGATTGAGCTTTGAGCTGATGTAGTTCCATTGTTTTACTTCAGACAACTTCCGTATCATGGAGATTCTGTTCGTGACGAAGGTTTTAAACCTTGCTGTTGTTCTTGCAATGTATTTCAAGACAGATTGGCTATCGGTCCAGTATGCCTTCTCTTTCAACTGAATTTGCAGCTCTGTCTTCAGCATTTGGTCCATACGTACTGCCAGTACTGCAGTTGCCAGCTCCAATCTGGGAATGGTGGTTTGCTTGAGGGGTGCTACTTTTGCTTTGCCCATGATGAAAGCAACATGCACTGCATCTCTGCAATTATCAAGTCTGAGATACGACATTGTTCCCATGCCAATCTCACTAGCATCGCAAAAGTGATGCAGCTGTGCAGATGAGATTTCACCAAACCCATGGGGTGTGATGCATCTGCTCATAGAAAAGTCATTTAACAGGACCAGTTGACTCAACCATCTTTGCCATCTGTCAACATGTTCTTTCGGGATATTCTCATCCCACCCCAGCTTGGCCTTGCACAACTCCTGCAGGATCTGCTTGGCAGGTAGCATGACTGGTGCTAAGAACCCTAGGGGGTCGTAGATTGAACTTACAACCGACAGGATGCCACGTCTTGTGGTTGTTTGAGGTTTTAGAACTGTGCTGAAGGTGAAGGTATCACTCTCGACATCCCACTGAGTCCCGAGGGCCCTTTCCATGGGAAGTTTATCCCTGTCAAGATTCATTGTCTTGACCTCTTTGGCTCTTTCTTCCTCAGGAATTATGGCAAGGATCGAGCGATGGTTACTTAACCATTTGTTCAGATGGAACCCTCCTTTGCTGCACATCTCTTTGAG